TTAGAAGGGATCACGATCGAGCCACCACCTGTAGCGGCAATGATGGAAGCGGTGAGGGTGGTAACGATGGAGGCAGCTGAGGGGGTGGTAGCAGAGGCGGCAGTTTCCCGTGAAGATCGTTAAACCGAAATCAATTTTTCATTGTTGTAGACGTGGAATTGATGGACCAGTTTAAGTTCATCGTGGGTTTGGGCCAAAAAGTAATCCCTAAAATAATTTGGGCCATATAAAATTTCCAGCAATAGATATCTTGTTTCTAGACTTGGTTACTCTCGACGGTGGAAGAACCATTGATCCCGACTTATATGATGGTGGAGGCAGCGGTGACGGTGGCGTTGATGGCGGAGGCAACAGTGACGGTGTCAATAGTGGTGGTGGCAGTTTCTGATGATCACTGCTCAACCAATATCCCCCGTATGCCATTAACGATTCTGAGTTTGTAAGGGATATGGTCCTTATCAATTCCGGCACAGGCTTGGGCCAAATTATAATCGTTGGATTAGGCTTCTTGGGCTGTGGTAGAATAACTAAAGCGGCCTTTATTGACATCTCCGTTCCAGATTGATGTCGTCCTCTGTTCCAGATAATTCTTTTGGTGGCCTTGGGTTCATTTGATGACAACAGCATCGGTGATAACAGGGTGGGCTGTGACGATGAGGGTGAGGGTGGTGGTGGCAGCTGTAATGGCTCGAGTTGGTTGTGGCCCGACCCGACCCTTCCTTCCCTCTTAACAGCGGGAACAATCTCTTCTACCTCAGATCTGGTGTTCTTCCTCAACAGCTCAGAGCTTGTGGTCTTCATCTTCATCGGCCTATCATAAAGTTTGACTAGTTTGTCCATCATTTTTTTCAGTCTCCATAATCCCTCCTCAAGGATTTGAAATCCTCCTTCAAAGATTTCATGCCCTTATGAACAGAACGGATGCCATCCACCGATTCCTTTCCACGTAAAACACTATTTGTCATCTCCAAATTCGACCTCGCTTTGATACCAATTGATGTACACCGAAGAAAATAGGATGGAATTGCAAAAGAGATCTAATGGTTAAAGGAGAAATCAAAGGGTTACAGTTAGGTTTCTGGTTTTCGAGAGGCCAGAATCTATCCACAGACTCACGTCCAAAGGGTTAAAAAACAGAATATTTTCTCCTAGAGCCTCACACGCCTGTTTATACTAGACCCATGCATTACCAACTTGTACCATTTAGGCATTAGCTATTGTACTTTGTTTACACAGATTACTAAAATGACTTGCGAACCCTCATGTATAACACAAAGTTACTAGGATTAGGCAATTATGGGTTTATGTGGAATCTGAACTTCAGAAGATACAAGTAGAACAGCATAATGATCGCCAGTCTGTTGGTCCTAAACTTACAGATTAGAAGACAAAAATACAAAAAAATTTATATAGATTAACGATGGTATCATAAACTATTCCTTAATTAGACAATTTTAAGGTATCATGCACTTAATAGAAACAACTGCAACTAAATCATCTTCACTAAATGTGGAGTGTTACTTGTATCATTTTGTAATTAGAAACCAAATGCAATCATCTGTTGCAAGAAACATGATTGCAGCAAGTATTATAATCTACATGAAGTGAACAGGAAGCAGCGGTAGGCCGTATGCAAGTCAGTGATGATATAAACAAAGCAAGCACTAAATTATATGGCCTTTGAATAAATAAACTATCTAGAAGACAACAATACCAAAAATATTCTCCTTCTAACCTCAGACTTCAGAAAGCTTGTTCATTCTTCCCCATATCACTTAGACCAATTTCTACCAATTGAATGTTGCCACTTAAACCGGAAGCCTTCCATGATGGCAGGAAGGAAAATCCATCCAGAAGCTTCACACACTTCAATCGCCATTTCACCATTAAGAACTCAATAAGGTGATGCCCACTGCATAAGTAGAGAGACAAGGTCATGCCATGACACCATGTGGTGCATATGGGTGTGGCTCGGGATCGAAAGAGGGAGAGAGAGAAAGAGAGAGTATTGAACTGGCTCGTCCAAAACTAATATTACCTTCTATTGTGATAGCTTGTTATAAAAACTGATCCAGGTGAATTCTCAAGAAGGAATTTCACAGTCGCAAAGAGATTGTCAAAGGCTTCACAAATATGTGACAAAAACAACTCAATGTCAATTTTAACCTTCTTTTATAAGTAGGGATATTATATGATAATAACACACACACACATATACGTGCACATATATCCTACCACTTGAATCATACAAGACATCAGCTCCAAGGATTACTTTTGGTTGTAAACTAAATATAGATTCATCCCATACACCCCAGGTAAGCCCCATTACCTGCAAGACATGGTAATTAACCTTAATAAAAAATCATAATACTATTTTGGTTCACATAAGATATATTCATATGATGGAACTCATGTCAAGGCACTTGAAGTAATTCATCTGATACATCATGCTGAAGAAGAAGAAGAAAAAGAGGAGATGCTAATAATGGCTATGTAGTTCACCCTCACCCATTTCGAATTATTTTATGTGAAGGCATAAAATCAGTAAGTTGTGGCAAAAGTAACTTTCTGTAACGTGCAAACTTATTTGAAGGCGAATCATTGTAAAATCAGTATTGTATTGTACATGGAGAATATATAATCCATATTATCAGTCAACAGATCAATACATCGATTGGATGTTGAGGGTCTTCACTGAATGATAGTTGAGACGAAAATAATCAAAATACATAAGGTGCTCAAATGCCAAGAAAAATAGACCCCATAAGTCTATATACACACATAGAATAAAATAAAGATTACTACTCACAGTTTGCATCCATACAACTTGTGAAGAACCATTATTACCTCACACTTGACATTATTTAGCTCACACACCCTTCTCATGTTATCCAGGACCTGTAAATTGACCATTATAAGCTGGTAATGAATAGCATATTGCTGGCAGAAGTATGAAACTTCCCCAAGTAACAAAACCTATATTAACTCCGTAAAAGATGTTGATGGGAAAGCATGATAGATTCATACTAATTATCTGGAGGAGTTAATGATTGTTTAACACAAGTGTAAGAAAGCAGACCAATTTGACTAGCCTTGTAACATTTAATCCAAGATCCATTCATGAGTATATGAATTGCCCAAAGTAAAAGGTTGTATATAGGAAGATAACTCATTTCAAGGGCATCGTTAACAGTTGATATGGATAAATTTACTCCCAGCTGACTCAAGTTAACTGCCAACCACACCTATACGTATAAAAATCCAAGTTATGGCAGCTCTCTTGATCGGATTAGGCTTCTACAACACATTGTCAAAAACTATGTTGCATATTTATTTAGAAATTCTGAAACATGACTTAAGAGCATTCTGATGAAACTCCGCAAGTAGAGAATGCTAAACTTTGTAATTGTTTTGCCTATAAGCAACAATATTTGTCCGTTCACATTTAAGAATTTATATGCTTTTATCATATATGATACTTGCATTGAGTAGGTACATTCTATCTTAAGAAAGACCCAGAATGAAGAGTCTCAAATGTTCCAAACCATTTTTAAAATGAGATGCAGTCTTCTTTCCGATTTAAGTTTTCAATTTTAAGTCGGCTACAGTACAACAACTTCTTTACTATCAATTACAAGTGAAACAGGCCTTGCAACTCTTCTCAACGCAATTTTGGACTGTTTCTTGCCTGAGTTCCATGACACACAATAGTAAGTGAAAGGAAAACACAAGTTGACATTTTGAAGGAATCCTATGTTTGTAATTTGGTATCAAAATAAAAATAAAAGTTATTAGTTTTTTATTTAGTCTACATTGCTTAGAATACTTATGCTATTAGGAACCACTTGAGACTCCAGACAGATTTAAGGGTTAAGCTGCCTGTTTATATGACTAAATGAGAATTTTTATTTGCTTTGGATGGATGCTTATACCAAGGTCATGAAGTCCGAATTGCAGCAAGCAAGTCAAATTCAAAACATAGAAAGGGAAGCAATTGAAAGAGTACAATTTCTCGGCTCCTAAAAAAGTGAATAAATCTTGTAGTTTGTTCATAGTAAATACATATCACTTGAGCAACTAAAGCCAATTCAAATAAAAAGTTGACCTTCATTCCAGTTTTGTTTCAAGTATTTTACTTTTCATACTATCAGCTATGTGCTACATTCCTTCTAGACAATACACTTGAAATCCATATTCCTTAGTCATCAGGCAGAGCAATTCAATGTCAAAAATATAATGCAAGAATCATAAGACTATCCTCCGTACATCATATGCTGCCTCAAATTAATGTGTGCAACAGACAGGCAAAAAGAAAATACATAGGAACTCTATAGAAGCTTCAACTAGAAGAATCATCACTTTCATGCCCCATTCCCCTGTCCTGCTCACCAAGAACCCCCCAACACATCAATAAGAGAAAGTTCCAGGTTAAACCTAATTCAGGAGGGCCTAAAATATACTTCCTCCATCCCAATAACATTACAACATTAGACTGCAAGTGGTTGACTGTTTTCAGTGTCTAATCCCCTTTGATGACGACGAAATAAGGGAACCATGTGAACTAAATCAACATTATCAACTATTTGTAACGATGACAATGGGGGAAAGTAATTTTTAACTTGAAAACTTGCCATTCCATGACTGTTATGACTTCCATGGGGCATCCCTAATCGGTAATTACACTATTGGTTACATCTTATTACCAATGTACTTAATGCAGGTTTGAAGAGGCCAACACTGGAGCATCAAGCACTCGGATGAACCAAAAATACCATGATACCAATTATACTAACCAACGTTTCTTAATAAATATAACCATTTAGAATGTACAACCACATCATAGACAAGCAGTTTTTTATACCTCTAGTCTGTTCGAGTCTTCGGTAAGAATAACATCCGCACCTACTTTTGCTGCAACCAAGCCAGGAAGCGATGTTCCAGCCCCAAGCTGCAAACTAATATTAATTATGCTTAATTTGAAGAACCGATAATCACAAACACAACACAGAATGAAGCAGAACTTGTCTACAATTAACAACCAAGCTAAAACATTATAAATTCCATATATTGAAGCTTCGATATTACCTCAACCACGCTAATCCCAGTGAAGCGAGATCTTTGTTGCCAAACATACTCCGCCAGGATAACACTACACGGCCACACGAACAAGCCGTATTCTTCTTTCATGCTCTGTACAGTTGATCATAGCCATTAGTATGTACTTTTATACAATTTGCTTGCTAGCAAACAATGGGAGTTCTCCTACGCTTCTAATAATTTTCTTCAACCGTAGAAAACAACGAAGCTAATTCAAAAAAACAGTTATCAATTTACAGAATGAAAAGCCAAGGGAAATTCATGAAAGACCTCGATGATTTTGATGGAGACGGCATCGTCAAAGCCATTTGAATCTCCGAAATAGTGATGAGATACGGTGGTCATGCCATTCGTAACCGGGGTTTCCGTTGAGCCGCCGTCGCCATCGCTGTTATTTACTTCCATGGAACAACCGCAGTTAAATGTGCCGAAAATTTCCAACTAAAGACATTAAGGGTTAAGGGTGCGTTTGCTATGGAGACTACGGGGGTGTTTGGGATTGCTTATTTAAAACAACTTATGTTTTTTTTTGTAAAAGTGTTTATTAACTTATGAGGTATCAAATTGGAATTTTGTAAAAAGTGTTTGGATTAGCTTATAGCGGTACCAAACTGCAATAAGTTGATAAGTTGTTTTTTTAGTGTTTGGCAAATTTTGTTTATATATGTAAAATGACCAAAAAGGACAGGCTTCTATATTATTGACTTATAGGAGTGTTTGGGTTTGCTTATTAACTTATTTGATTTTTTAACATATAAAAATTTATTTTTCATCATTTATAATATCTATAACAAAAATTTATATCAATAAGATTAATAATTTATATCAATAAGATTAATAATTAGTATCAATA